AGTTGCTTTCCCATCTGTCTCAATTTAGTCTCTTTGACAAATTCCAATCTGGCCTGAGGAAAAATCAGAGTACTGAAACCACTCCACATTACATTATTAGGTATATTATATTAACAGTGTCTCTTTACTTAAAAAATCTTCACACTCTTTAACTCCCGTGCCAGCAATATCTTGTGGAGCATTACAACTTAGACACTGTGAATGACTTCATGACTCTCTTTCTGCTCCCTCCCATCTTCTGACTTCTCACCACATACCAAAGCAAGGGTTTTCATCCATAATTTCTAACCTTTCATAATCTTGTTGGACGTAACCTACAGTGTGTACACATCACTCCTTTCACTTTCAAACTGCCTAACCATTACCCACCCTGAAAGTGCTCTGACAATTTCATAGATATTATAGACACACTAATTTTATCCCTTAGTCAGTCCCAACAGACTTGGCTCTAAAAGCATGTGTCAATTATTGCAACTTTAAAGTCTCAAAAAAACCAAATCCAGAGGAAAAACTCTCACAAAAGTAGCTTGCATTTTGCCACTACTCCTTCTATTCTTTTCTGGATATTGTAGATTTTATAGCTATTGTTTAATCCTTTATATTTTTCAAATCCCTATATGGAATGTGTTACAAAAATGGGAAGCCCTCTTATACTTTGGGTTTTACAGGCCATTTGTTGGATGAGTTTTTTCTTTTTTTTCTTTTCCCCTAAATTGTTATATTCCCTCCCCAATCCATTTTTGCAGGAAATTGAATTGCAGAACTGCGTATTTCCAAGTAAATACCCTCTATATACTGTTTGTACTATGCAAACAATAAAGATCTCTGTTTAAAAGTAATTGTTGGCTACATTTGAAACCCTTAAGGGGCTACCAGAAAAAAAAATATAGGCTGCAGACCAGGATTTCTTGTTTTATTAGAAATTTGCTTTAGACTAAGACTTTTGAGTAGTCCTGCAAATCTCAAATCTACCATATGCTGGTCCATTACAAATTAGTGGGGAAAAAAAATTCACCTTTTTTTCATTTATCAGTTAACTGATCATAAGTACAATCCTAACAGATCCTAAAGATGGAGAAAACCTGTTGTGATAGTTGCTCTGCAAATGATAGCACCAACTCTCTGAATACCCCTGTAGCTCCTGCTGCCAGAATGGCTCTTGGGCAAGAATTTGTACTCTAGTTTTCCAGAACAGCACTTGTCATTCTGTATGTGATCTGTTCTCTTCTATGAGAACCTCAAATGTCACTTGTTTAAAATATAAAAAATAAGAGAAACAGCCCAAACAACAAACAAAACCCACCGAAGACCAAATGCACATCATGAGCACATCAGTTTTAAACCGCATGCAGGGAAGCAATGAATTAAGGATGTTTTAGCTCTAACATGTCACAAACATACTTTTAAAAGGTGAAATGACCATCTTTTGGCTGAGTTGCCCTTCACTCCTTTCACACAGCCAGTGGACTGCTCCATGCCATTACTGGGCAACAGAATGTTGGCTGAACCTGCCCTTGTGGCAGGGTGTCTCTGTTCCGCCTGGCATTATGGCAATAGTGACACCATCACCCTCTCAGCAGCAACCCAAAAGTCACAGAATTTAAATCACTCTCATGATTTCTATATATGAATTACTTAGAAAGTTAAGGACAAATTATTATATTTTTTTTATTTCAACTACTAACCAATAAATGTAAAAAAATACCAACAACAAAACAAAAATAAACCCCTTCATCCCCCACATTAAAGCAATAGTTTTTGTAACATTCAAAACAGTGGAAACTATTCATCGTATATTACTATTAGAGGAGAAAAGCAAATTTAATTTAAAATCACTTTTTCAAATTCCCTCAGTGGATGCCAGATAATTCAAGCTTAAACAAATATAAAAAAAACCCTCATTTTAAATTGAAAATAATACAGACAGAGCTCAATTATTAAGATATTAAGGGGAACATTCAATTTGAGATACATTTAAGCATCTTTGCCTCCTGGAGATTTTACATGACAAGGCTTTAGATAAACATGGTTTTGCAAACAGCAACTATCATATCTGATCACATAACCTCTGGACTAAAGCAGTATGTCAGCAAATATTTCTGATTATTTAAAATATTAAATAACTGTAATTTACTAGGCAGGTCTTCCTCAGAACAATCACAAAAATTTTCAAGAATTCATATCCACATACAAAAAGCATTTAGATGGCCTGTTACAAGTCTCTGAGTAATAATAAAAAATCACCTCTCTCTGTGATAAAGCCCAGTTTAAATACATTCTGGGGTATAGCAGTGGTGGAAGAGCTGCCTTTCTATGACACTCAGCTTACAAGGAAAACTGTAGCAGCCAAGGACAGATAGGGTAGGAATCATTTTACCTAACTTTAGCTATATAGATATTAGACGCCTAATTTAAGCTAATCATCTGGCTTCCCTCTACATCTAATGGAGCTAAGCATTCCCAGAGGGAGATTCATCCTGCTTCTTTTTAGGCATCCCTCTTCTAGATGCTTGCAGATGGATAAAGTCAAGAAAAATCAGTCTTACTGACAGTCTGATAACTTGTCATTAGCAATGCACAATGTCCAAATTCTTTTAAATGAAGCCAGAACTGATTTTTTTTTTCCTTCATCATTTAGCCTTTCATTTTCCCTGTGACCCAACTTTTTCTTCAGCTCCTCCCATGAAGATCAACTTTCTCTGGCACTTTATTTTTCTTACCCTGGACTGTGTTTTCTGAAGCCTGGGGAACTGCAACCAATGTCAGTATGTTGCTGCTCTACCAGTTACAAATCCATTCACATGCATGTGCTCTAAATTGCAGTAATGATCTGAACACACAGATAAGTTATCTGGTTGATTGCGGTTGATCGCGATTGTGCTTTCTGGGTCTACTCTACCACTTTCAAATGTGTAAAAGTCTGTGGCAACATTAAGGCAGTCAAGGTATATAGATGAATGCTAAAATATATTTACTATTCAAAGAAGATGGCTTAAAGCAAACCAGGAAAATTAAGGAAGAAATATCATTAGGGCCCTCACTTGTACATGTGTGAGCCCAAGTCACCACACATGCTTTGAGGCCTCTGTGCTTCAGAATATTGAACAAGTCCTAAAGGTGAAGCCTGGCCTCAATTCTTTTGCATTTAGGGTTTGTAGGTTCTCAGCAATACCAGCATTGCTGCATCACACCTTTGATGACCAAGCCCTTAGAAAAAGTAGCCGAGATTTATAAGGAAGCAGGTGTCTGAACTTAAAGACTCCTAAATTCTTAGCTGGGTGCCCAAAGCAGCAACAAGACTGACAAGCACCCTGTCCAGCGGCTCACAGATGCTCACCCCAGTAGTGAGGCACCTAGCATTTGTTTTAACACAAAATGGATGTTTATTAACTGTCTATTTATTAATTGTGTTCTAATGGCTACTTGAAGTGCCTTGGCCGAGTGCTTGTGTGCACTAATTCCAACATTGGGCATGCAGTCTACTCTGCGTCTTACTCCTACAGATTTTTTAGAAAATTAATTTTAATATTAAAAAAACCATCTTGAGCTGCATACGTGAAAATAACTCCATTACGACTGAATGACAATCTAATACGAAATAAGAATAGTCACCTTTTTTTTTTTACTCTGCCCAAATCCAGGCAATAAATTAGGCTTCTCAGCATGACTGTAAAGTGCTGTGAATTGTATAAACAATCATATATGGACACTGAAAAATAACCCTTATGCACATTGCATTATAGTTCCAAAAATATATTTACAGTCTATTACAAAGATTACAAATGGAAGTGTCTATGTATCGGGATTATGCTAGTTAAAAGCTTTTTACAGATTTTCTTCAACAAAGGCGGGCGGGGACAAAAAAGTTAGTATAACCAAACTGATTTTTCTAGTGAAACAAATAAATAAAATGACAAATATAACACTGTACAGTGATCTAAAAAGGGGGAGAAAAAAGGAGGGGGGGAAAATGATGCATTTAAGTTTTTGATAACTATCTTTGGTCCTAAATGTGGGAAAACACATTATGTAGCACTGAATATACATGTTTGTTTGTGATGCTCTGCAAGTAAAATAGAAAAATATAGTGCATTTTCAATGTATTCAGAGCTCACTACACATAAATGTGTGTACAAAACAAGACAGTATAAATAAAATTTACAAGTTTTACAAAGAAACATTTACAAGGTTTTTCTTTTGTTTTTATTTTTTTTGTGTGGATGCCCACATTATCAAACCAGACCAATTTATGACTGATCCCTGGGATCTTTCTCTATCAAAATCAATAGAAGCAGCCCAATTCTCTTTGGAAGTACAGCATTTCATTGCTGGGGTAGTTCACAATTTTCAGATTTTTTTTTAAAGCATTTCTCTCTGGTTCATGTACATTCTTGCAGTATCTGTAAATACTCTGTCCATTATTGCTTATGGTAATTAAATATTTTAATCAAACAAAATTTATATATAAGTAAATGGTGTAAAAAGATATTCCATTGAGCAACTACCTTTGCATCTCTGTTCCTGATGAATGACTGTTGCGTCTGTGTGACCACGCACACGCATGTTCGTTCAGAGCAGCAAAAGCTTGTACAAAAATTGAAAATTCTGAACTGCCCCTTGTCTCATGCTCTACAGTTCTTATATAAAAGCTATGTCCTTATTCTGACAGCTGGACTGCATACGGCTTAAACTCATAGAAAATATACACCAGCTATTTCTCTTAGATTTGCTAATGCAGAGTACGGAAAAAAATGTGATGTGCTCAGATTAAATGCTTTAGGTAACACTGGAGAACTGCACCCATACTCTGAGACACTCCTACAATCGCTTGTCCATTCAATGCTGTGTCTCAGCAGGTTTACAGTTGTAGATCTACATCTTAGAATATATCTCAGTTTAACTCTAGTCCATTAAAATCATCTTGCAAACAATTTGCTAAAAGTGCCTAGAACTACTTAGGGGTCATTATTGCTTTTCTTTTTCTTTACTTTTTTTTTCTCTTTTATTTTCTTTTAAAAGATAGCATATGTATAACCTTAAAAAATTATTTAAAAAATATCAGAGCTCTTGGCAACTTGCATTTTCCTGACTCCCTGCCAATTAGCTAGCCATGTCAATACGGTGTTGATTTAACAAAAGGAAATGGCACAAAGGGATACCAAAGTTCAGATAGATATACATTGCTTGGTCGTGCTTTTTAAATCCCTAGGAACTCAAATAATCCTTCAGAGGTACCCAGTGTAGTAATGTGTCATTGAATTAGCACTAAAAAGGTCCAAAGATATAAACATCATACTAAAAGAAAGTCTTTATGAAGAATAAACACAAATGATTAAAAAAAGATTCAGAAATCACAGATTTAAGGAAAATATTTTGTTGAATTCAACAATAATATCATGATTTTATCTGACAAATATATTCTTTTTTAAATTTTTATGTACATTTAAAAAGTCTATTAGATAAAAAGGAGGTTAGAGAGCTCAAGGTGTTTGTATGTTTATTCAGGTAGTACTTTGTTTATTGTCACTGCTGTTTTCCTTGCCACCACTGGTGGATCCTAATTCCCTTTTCATAAATTCTGGTGGCACTTAGGAGTTCAAGTCTGTAGGTGCTTCTTGTAGCTCTTCTATTCACTGCAGGAAGGACCCAGGAAATCAAGTGTCTTCTAGCAGCACTTCATATATACTGAAGGCCAGTGCTGTTCTCTCAGTCTGTCACCTCCCTCATAAGGGAGAAATGTCTATCACACTTGGATGCCAGTGCCGTGTAAATGTAGCATTTGTGCTCTCATAGTCTGAATGCTGCTCATGATTTTCTTTTGATGACCAACCAACGTGATCCCTAAACTCATCACATCCCTGGGGAAGATAAATGCGTACATTGTTAATTTTTCAACTTAGACTGCTACTGTATGGTATTTAACTGTGAGGCAAAGCTACGCAGTAGTTTGGACTACAGGGTTCTGACATTGAAGCTACGCCGTGACCTCAGCTCAGTACTGGGAAGTTCACATAGGCACTGTTCAACCTCTCAGCAACAAGTGCAAGTACATGGCAAGTGTCATGTAATTACACTGTGTGGGTCTCCACATCTGAGAAGGAGGTCAGTGTGTTTTACATTATTATAATATTTTAGTGTAGCTTTTTAAGGACACCCGAAGACAAAGACACTTCTCTTGTAAAATGCTTCGAGTGGTTCTCAGGACAAAGTTATGTATAAATACAAGATTTTGGGGATCATAGTCTGTTTCCTAAAGAGATGCCTAAATGTCTTTGCATAATGACACATACCCATCATGCAAATGAACGAGGAGCAGCAGTTTCAACTCAGCCCCTGCTAATGCTAGAAGCTTGTGGACTCTGATGACAGTTCCCAAGCTATAGGCTGAGACCCCTAGTGATATCAGGCAGATAAGAATAGGATTGAAATCTTGAGAATATTAGGTTAGAAACTTGTTTAGAAACCCACTGCTCTCAAAGAGAAATTGCATGTGCTTGGCAACCACCAGGACAAGAAAGTTGTTTGCAGGGTACCAAGAAGACCTGTTTTAAGATGACAGTACTGATACAGGCCACGTTTGCCTTCAGACAATTGTTTCTACAGACATCTTTCCTGATGCAAAGTCCTGTCTAGCAGGACACAGACAGTCCCCAGCCATTTAGAAGAAAATTCCACATCTTCCCAGAAGACATTGGGAAAAAGGTACACATTAGGTGGTGGAGGCAAAACTGGTCATTTTCCTATACAAACATACTTTAGAAGGGGCCACATTCTCCCTCAAATTCTAGTCCCTTGGTGTTATTTTAATTGGTCTGAAAAGCAGGGAAAAAAGTGATGCCACACAGAGGTAGCAGGGTATTTGTCCTTTCATGAGATGCTCTAATACAACACCATCAGCTGCTAAAATGTCTGGTTTGATCCCAAGTACCATGTTTGTACTCAGGGTAAAGTTTTGGAGTTGAACATTGTGTATTATTGTACCTAGAAATTCCCTAAATGCAAGTTAAACATGCCCAGTACTAACTTACTCAATAGTCATCCTGGCAACTGATTCAAGAGAGTTGTAGCCTGCTGCTGTGAAATTATCCTTATATCTTTCCATCTTAATAGCTTGTAACCATTCGCCTACGGAGCAGAAAGTGGTAAAATCGGGAGTGTTCTGGTCCAGAAGAGGGCTAATTGGTCTATGGAGAAGGAAAAAGGAAAGTAAGTTGTTTCCAAAGAGAGTAAAACATCAGGGAGTATTTAGCAAGGTGAGAGTCAAATAAGTTTTGGGTATTAAAAATGTCAAGAGTAGAAAGTAATAGGCCTTTATACACAGTTTAGATTATTCTGTGAATAGTTCTTGACTGCTCTGTAGCTCACAATATGTGCTTCCTAAGCTTATTCACATAAAAGATGAAAGGTCAGAGTGAGCAAAATCAGCCTAATGGACTACTGTTACCAACAGAAAATCAACCTTATTACCTAGCATGACAGCAGCTGTCTCTATGTTGCTGAGCAAAATATAGATGCTATTCTTTTATGCATCTTAGAAAATATAGTAGTAGCTATTCCCATTTTTTTAATTGCATGGGACAAAACAAAGACAAGGGAAGAGCAGAGACACAAGTCTTAAGGTCACACAGCAAATCGGTCAGTAGAAGAATCAGGAGCAGAACACAGGCCATTTGATTCCCTAGTACAGTGGTCTAGCTAGCAGATCAAAAGATTACCATGATTAAATAATTCACCTGAAATTTATGAAGAAGCCATTAAAAACTACATCATGAAATACAATGAGATGCAATCACTGAAAGGAGTTAAAGCCAGAAAATGAAAGATAAAAATCTAGAGTGTAGCATGTCAAGGTACATTGGCCAAGCATGAGTACTGTTAATTACTATCTCTACTGCAGCAGTTCCTAGGGCAAGGGATGCATCATATAAAACTACAATAGACAATGATCCTTGCCCTCCAGACTTTATGATTTTAAGAAACAAGGAAAACATAGACTAGTGGTGAGAGTACGGAAAGAGTGATGAGCAGGCAGTAGTCTACTGAGAAATGTGTTAGTTATTTACTTTATTTTGGTTGCTTTTCTTTATTCTATGAAAGTCCTTTTTTGGCTTTGTTTAGCATGGTAAAAAAGAAGGGCAAATGAGGGAAGAGAACACAGAACAGAAAGAAGAAGGAACTGAAAGACAGATGAAGTAAGTGTGAACTGGAACCAGCCACCAAGCAGAACATTCAGAGCCCAGCCATGTGCACCGTCATAAGAACACACACTAAACCTTTTCTTACCTGCTACAGGTTCCCAGTGGGGTTTTCAAGCTGTTTGGATTTCTAATCATTTTGTCCAGAATGCCAACTATCTGCTCAAACTTTGGCCTTTCACCACGTTCCTTCTGCCAACAATCCAGCATCAGCTGGTGCAGTCCTGCTGGGCAATCCATGGGTGCTGGCAAACGATAGCCTTCTTCGATTGCTTTTATAACCTAGTAGCCAACATAGTTAATAATTTTTCATCAACAGTAATTTAAAGAATATGTACTGCTGCCCAGTTCAAATATCTAAGAAAAATAAAATAAAATAAAATAAAATAAAATAAAATAAAATAAAATAATCAATAAAATTTGTTATTGGTGTTGCAAAAACATGAGTCTGTTGTTTTGACACTAGCCTTTAGGTTTTCAAATAATTTCCCCAGTTTTATCTTTGGGCTTATTAAGCATATTGTTCTATATGTGCAGAACATAGCTGTATTACCTAGACAAGTGAGTAGCAGGGAACAACAATTAAATTCACCAAGGGAGCAACACATAGATTGATAAATGGAGTTATTTCAGAAAGCATTATTACTAGCCCCAAGGTTTTTATGAAAGAGTGTGTGGTAGAAGCAACTGACTTTTAAATGGATGGATATCAGTGCATGCACATATAAAATACAAGAAGCCTGAAGGTATTATAAAAGGATCCAAGAAAAATGTTTAGCAGATAGAAATTGTTAGGGAAAAAAGTTGTATTCCATGTCTAGCCATGTTATATTAATGATAAAGCAGCAGAACTGTGCCGTGTGAGAGAGAGAGACCTGGGTAAATGCTATTTTAATATATCACAGAAAGACAGATTTAATAAGAGATGCTGCTAGATGATGATATGATCAAAGGACAGCATAAATGTCTGAACCAAGAATTACACCCACCCATTGACTTCCTTAGCCAAGTCCATTTGGATTTAAGTAAAAAATAAAAATGGATAAAGTAAAATCACAGCAAACTGCTGTAAACCTTGAGGGCAGAATAAAAAAAAGCACATCAGGAAGTAAGGCAGATAAGAAAAGCTAGTGAAAAAAGGCTAAAACACTGTTCATGGGGGATTTCAAGTATACTGACATTGACTGACACAGCAGCATTAGAATTGCTAAAGAAGGGTGCTTGTTCCTGAAGGGGAGTGCATAGGACTGTTTTCTCCCTCATTTTGTATAGAAAGCAAGATCAGAAGCTGTTCTAGATGTAGCTCTGGGAAGTAGATCTGGTATGATAAATAAAGCTGGTGAATATCCAAGTTTCAGTAAAATAATAACCTCAGAAAGAAAATATTCTGTAGGTCATGCGAGAAAACGCAAAAGGAGTAGACTGCAAAGTAGACAGAACCGCAGACAATACAGAACGACCTTCAAAAACCTGGCTGAAATCCAGCCAGGTTTTGTATCAAAACCTTTTGCATAAAAGAAATTTTGTGAAAAGAGAAGGCATAGACCAGTGGTAGGGCACTGACTACAGTTTTGTGTTACAGAATGTCCTTCTGACCTCAGGGAAGTTGCCTCATCTCCCTAGGCCTCAGCTTTCTCTCTGAACATTTAGAATGACAGTACTGTCCTACAGCTCAAAAATGACTGAGAAATATTCAATTCCTGCAGAAACATCCACACCTTGAAGAATGAGTGCAGTGACCTTTTTACAAACGTTGAAGTTTTCTGTCAGAGAGGGTATGGAGAAAGGTTTTCTGCAGAAGAACAGGGAAATTGGAAGAACAGAGCTACAGAGTAAAGAAAACATTAAAAGTAAAATGTAAGATCCTTTAGAACTATATCAAGAGAAAAGAGAAAAGAACAGCACCTTATGTTTAGAAGTAGTAGTGGAATCAAAGTGAAAAATAATCTACAGTGTGTACAGGACAATTACTGTGCTGTGAAAAGTAATGCAGACATTTCTGATCCTCTAAATGGCAAAAGGTATTAAACACTTTGAGCATGCTATGTATGATTTACCACAAATTAAGTAGCTCCTTAAGAGGTCAGAAGAGAAAACTCACCAATGAGAAATGAAAAAGTAGGTGCCAACAACAACAGTACAACCACCAAAATATCTAATAGCCTTATAATTGGCAAACTATCAATATAAGAATATATCCAAGAATGTAAGGGAGAGTGAAAACATGAATGAAGGGATCAGAACAGGAGTTTTCCCCATTCACTACAAACTGCAGAGAAATCTGAAGAGGACTGGGAGTCAAGATTATACTGTTTTTGAAAGGCTTTGGTGTTACTTCAGAATCAGCTTCTCTGATGTGTACTCTGAGCAAGAATGGTAAAACTGAGAAATATAAAATAATGAGTCAGCTAGAGATGGATAGAATTGCTGTGAATATCCAAAACATTGAAAAAATATTTTAAAATATTGGTAAGTAAAGTACAACAAGTGTCCACTCTGCAAAGAAAGGATGAGGTGTGGTTCAAAACATCAGTACTCAAAGAAAATGAGATGCAGAATTTTTGGGTTTTTTTAAATAAGCAAATCTACAAAGAGAAAACAGCTGGAGTTCTTACTAATGGAATTGATTTATATTATCTACACTTCCCACAAATTGTTTTTGTAGTTCTACTTTTGCAGCAAAAAGAGTAAAAGAGAATACTGTTAAGACTATGCTTTTATCATAACCAGGCTGAGGATGTAAAGCGGGATAGAAGAGGACTGGTCTGTTCACTTTATATGCTGGATGCCAACAAGGAATTATTAAATATGGGTAACTGGACAAAGTAATGTAACTCTGACTGTGGTCATATAATATTAAGAACACAAACTAATGATGATAATAATGGTAAGAAATACAGAAGTACAGCCTTGCCCTTTTCTGAAGAACTAATCTGCACTGGGGTCAGAAACCAAATGAGAGAAAGGACATCAGCAGCCTAGCAGGGGGATGGGGGTTTGAGGGCTCTGTTACTAGCAAGGATTAAGCTGAGGCAAGCCCACTGCTCAGGGAAGTTGGGACAACTCTGCCTATCATCTGTGCTCAGCCTGCTGTGCCTTTGAAGGGAGTTTGTAGGATGATGATGTTCTTTTGGCGCAGCCAAGCTCCAGGTCACTGCTAAAAGGATGTTTTTGCTTGAAAAGAGTTCACAATGCAAATATGCATCCTCCATCAGTCTAAAGCAATGACTTAAAGGAGGAAGGGAATGAAAGAAATGCTATCGAAAAATCCAAAGTCAGGGAGGGCCATTATTTAGGAGATCTGTTCTGCTCTATGACTACACCCACATCCACTTTTAGGCAAAATGATACACTTAAAATATAAAAACTGAGTGCAAAATTAGAACACATTTAGAATTTTTCATTCCTGTTTAGTACTCCAACTGGTGACTTTGAAGGAGAATAGATAAGAAATCATTAGGTGATTCTAAATTTTTGCATCAGAGATTATCTACGGGATCAGTAGGATACATTTATGGTATGGGAGAACATGCCTGAAGATCACAACATACAAGAATATTTGGAATTATTTTACCAAGCAATTGATGCATTTTTTAACTATGTGGCATTGAAGATTATCATGAAAGATGCTAAAAAGGGATGAAATTTGCTATTTTTTGAAAGAGGCTCACTTACGTGCTTTACATACAGTTTTCAATAGAAGGAATACTTTTCCAAATCTAATAAGAAGCATAAAGATATCAAAATTTCTCCTCTATTTGAAAGTTTTTCCTTATTGTTCCCTGAAAGATAGGTAAGGTTTGCCTTTGAGGCATCTTATATTCCTGTCAGACTTCTTTTATGTTTGAATCTAGTACAGAAGGAAGGTGTCAAAAGAAATGAAACTCTACTGGGTGTCTGGGGAATGTAAATATTTCTCTTTCTCTGCCCCAAGGACTTGTTTGCCCATATTTTGACAGTCCATGAAATCTTTGACACTGAGACCTGTCAAATATTAACAACTTTGCACTGTGCCAAACTGACTCATCATCTACACTTTTATCTTTTTTTTTTCAGCTTTGATGCTGATCATTCAATCAAAAATTAAAATAACAATTAAAAACCTACTCAAGCACCCACCTGAAGAACTTTAAATGAGACTCTTTCTGACATCTTTCACACCTGTATGGCTTCTTCCTGTGTAATTTCTATTTTAATAGATACTCCTGTCAGAAGTCAAGATTAACACCCATCTGTTCTATTACTGCTGACCTGTTGCTCTGGATCATATTTTATGCAAACAAGGGTACTGTTAAATCAGCATAATTAACTTGAAAAAGCCAAAGTAGGTCATTAACTGCCACTCAGACTTTTTAACAACTTTTTTCAAATTATTAATCATTGTTCTAAGGTCAGAAACCTCAGAATTATTTTTTATTGGAAAAACATTATTTCTTTCCATGCTTAAGCATAGTGAAGAGCCCGTATTACTATTTTTGATGTTCCAGTTTTAATTGATACTTAGGACAGAAATCTACAATATATATGTGGCAAAAAAAAGATTTTGATTTTAGTAATGAGTGAAAGCTCTGTAAATTTTTCATTTTGTGACAACCACACAGTACTTCGATAACTCTTATTTCTAAACCAACATTTTATGCATTTATAGTGAAATAAGTATGTATGTGTTTACAATATGTAATTGTTGTTTTACTGACACACACCCACACTCACGAACAGACAAACCTACATCTTGATTTGACATGTCCCAGTAAGGCCGTTCTCCATAAGACATTACTTCCCACATAACTATTCCATAACTCCACACATCACTTGCTGATGTAAATTTGCGGTACTGAATGGCCTCTGGAGCTGTCCATCTCACTGGAATTTTTCCACCCTATTGGAAAAAAAGAAAAAAAAAAAAAAGGAAGAAATTTCTCTTTTTCACCCATGGAATTTTCGAATCATTTTCCATAGACTGAATTTATAGTTATTTCTAACAACATCAAGAGCAGCAGAGCAGCACTTACACAATCTGCTATGGTTGACCAACTGAAGAATTTTCAGAGGTGCCTAAGGAAGTATCTTAAAACACTTCGAATATTAATACTTAGATACTTGTATAAGCTAAGTTGGATGAATTTCTCTGGAAATTCATTATCCCTCCACTGATTTTAAAGGGCAGCGTAGATTTCTGATGTACACTAGCTGTTTAACTCCTGGCTGCCTAAAGCTCGGTGAGGGGAATCCCAGCCTGGGCATATCCATCCCATTGACTTGTAATTTATGTCCTCTGAAATCTTGGTCTGACATTTTTAAACCATGATCCCACTTAGAGCCCAAAGGCAGGAGTGACAGCCGTGAACACCGGTGTGGTTTCCTGCATCCCTGTGCCTGTCGGAGCAGATTCCAGGGGCCCCTCCTTCCCTCAGCATGGGAAAACAGGTACAGGGAGGCCCCATGGGTGGGAATGTGGAGATGGCTCAACAAAAGAATAAAGAGCACAGTGTGTTTGATGAATGCATATTTAAGAAAAGCGTCCCACCCAAAAGCAAGGGAAAATATAGGAGGTGAGCTTTGTCACAGATTAGCCTCAAGCTAGTCAACCCTTTAGTGAGATAAAATCTAGCCTGCAAAATAGTAGTAGTCTACAAATATTTTAATTGACTCATAGCAAATTAGATGTTTAAAATTTTTGTGGGTAAAACTTCCTTATTTGTTCAATCAGAAAATCAGGAGGAATGGAATAATGAAGATACTGTACAAAATTTTTAGTACTTTGTCAAATAAAAATGTATGTTCTTACAAAAATATTATCTCCTAATCAGAGACAGGTTTCTGCAGAGACTCTTCCTTTTGACTGGTTAACCTCCACCCAGCCCCCCGTCAATTAATGTATTTTCCATATCTAAACTGTCCAGAAGATACACTTCTTCTAAATAACCAGATCTCAAAATTATTATTATATTAAAACCCATTGATTTATCTTACGGTTGTAGTGTAGACAGCCTCTGGATCATCTTCTATAACTCTGGAAAGGCCAAAGTCTGATACTTTACAAACAAGGTTGCTGTTGACAAGAATATTGCGTGCTGCAAGATCCCTGTGTACATATCCCATATCGGCCAAATATCTCATTCCAGCAGCAATTCCTCTCAACATTCCCACTAGCTGAATAACAGTAAATTGCCCATCATGTTTCTGGAGAGAAGAAAGGAGCAGCAATTCTTGTTAGTAATGCTGAGAAGTAAGAATTAGTTTTACGACTTCAGCTTTCCACTTATTTTACTCCTTCTGTGGCAGAGAAACTCACTTCAAACACACCTTCAGAGATAAAGCAGTGTATCCAGTTAAGAAATGTGTGCATAATTAATGCACTGATAGTAACAGAACTTGCTAACCACCACGTATTTCTCGCTAACTTGTGGCTAGTCACTTCTAAGAGAGATTAGCTAATGAAGATCTCCTAATGTTATTATAGCTTGCTTCTATGCTCTTCATCTCTCAGAATAATTATTTGTATCAAGAAAATAAGAACTATCTCCTTTTTGTAACCCCAGCTACTTAAAATTTTCATTCACAGCTTGGAGCATATTAAAAAAAAAATCTGTTCATGCATACCTGGTAAGGAGTCAGAACTGGCGAGTTCAGAACACGCTTAAAAAACACTGAATTGTTCTGAATGCACATTTATTCTTTATTTGTTCATCTCTTAAACAGAATCATAATTCATTTAGGGATTCTTTTATGCTGATTTCCACCATGCTGCCACAGTAAAATTCTGCTTCCAAAAGGCAGAAGATCTGGCTTCAGGTATCAGTAGTTTTAATTTCAACTGGTGGCTATAATAACACCCACCATATCTATGCCACATTAAATCACATAAATTCCTAGAATGTTCCCACATGTTCCTGTCTGATCCTCTAATTTCTGATCTGGTTTTGCTGAAATAGCATAGAGAACCTGCTAGCATTTGTCAGAACTCCATTTCAAACTGAAAACCATTTTAATTATACTTAAGTAAATATAATAAACATAATATAATAATATTATATTAATAATAAATATAAACACAATACAAATATAATATATATTTTAATTATATTTAATTAAATAATATGCACAGGTATAAGACATATTTTTAAAAGTGTCAATATATAATATATGTCACTTTAAATATGCTTATATATGTTTTAATTTTGGTACTCACCCTAAGAAATGCATCTAAGGCTCCATTCTCCATGTATTCTATTACAATCATGACTGGTTTCCCTGAAAGAAAAGAAGGCAGATATTTGAGAACTGTAAAACAAATGGAGTGCCTTTTTTTGATAAAGCACACACTATTCCTTTGAAGGACTGAATCATTCAGACATTGAACATTTCTGAGCCCTCAAGCACTGTTACAGAGCTCTAATTTCTCAAATATCTGCATGGAAAGTGGTCATGATTCATAAAATCGAACCATACAAATCAAAAAGTCAGTGTGTTCTCCTAACTCCTGCTGTGTGAACAGGACTCTGGAATAATGACACTTCAGATAATATGAAAGGACATGAGAAACTTTATCTCTCTGCATGGTCTTTGAGGCTAAATGAAACTAGAGAAATAATATGTTTCAAAGTACTTCATCTTTTAATCATGCGTGCATCTAAATTTTTTTCCTCAGGTTGTAGCATAAACTAAGTATTGTTTTAGTTAGTTACGCATCAGGAGAAAATCCATTAGGAGTGTGCAGTCTGTTTATAATTTGAATCTTTGACCATGAATAAGGCAGAGTAATTTCTGCCGTCATGCTGTTATCTGACTGACAGACCGAGCTGCTGCTTACCTCTGGTAACGACTCCTTCCAGGTGAACCACATTGGGATGGTCAAACTGCCCCATGATGCTTGCTTCACACAGGAAATCTCTCCTCTGCTTTTCAGTGTAGCCAACTTTCAGAGTTTTTATGGCTACTGCAACATCTCTCTTGCCAGGAAGCTTCAGACGCCCACTGCACACTTCACCAAACTCTCCTAAAATGAAGTAGATCAATGCTGAATTACTCTGAACACCAGTATTTTTTTTAGGCCTTGATTCAAATAGCCACCTAAGTGTGTGTTTAAATTTAATGTGTTCATATTTGAAATGGATTCCTTTGGCATGCGCCTTAAATGAATTGCTGACCCTTATGGAATAAACACTTCAGCTAAGCCAACTGACAGGACTGTTATTTGAATATTTTAAAAGACTTGTTAGTAATTTATTGCATTTTTTTAAAAAGAGAAAAAAAAAAAGTGGCTTTCATAAGAAAACACTATTATTGAAATAGTAACACCATTCTTAAGAAAAAATGTCATTCTGCTCTATGTGGTTTCCTTGCTATCTTTAGTTGCAAGGGGATTTTTTCTTTCAAAAGGTAGCTCTTGCAGAGCTGCTTTTAATTTAGCATCCTTATGGTGTTAAATGAAGCACTACATTATTACCTTCAAACCAGGATAATTTACTTTACAGATTATGAAATTAAAGGTGTGACTTATAACAATTTTGTTACATTAAACAAACACAATCAAATGCTGCAAGTTTGTAAAAGGTTCTAAACTAACAGACAATTGGAATTTGAAGAAGCCTGCGATAAAAAAGACCGAACAGCCAGCAAAAATATAAAAAAAAATGCCCCAACAACCAAATCTGGAAGAGAAGTAATTGGATTCCATCAGACAGGAAAGAGGATGGAAGCATGTGAGATGTGGAGCCGAATGGCAATATATCTACCTCACTATTAACAAGATTATGAAAGATTTAAGAATTGTTCCTTGCATCACAGCTGTGTCAGCAGACAGCAAAAGTGAGATCTCCAATTCTGCAGACAGGAAGAGAAATCTCCTTGTATACATAGAAGAAGAGGGTAGTAATATATGTTACTGAATAAAAGTCAACATCTCTTTAAAAAGAAAGATTAACCACGAAAGTATTTAATAAACTGGTACTTCACAAATTCATCTGGATTTTGAGGGATATGGTTCCAAGTCTCTCCTCCAAATCAAATCAAGTCAGAATATTTTCTCCTGCATACCTGTGGAGTGTCTTAAGATTAAGCTGTTACGTATACACAGGTATGCAGACACACCTACATCAAAGACATGTTTTAGCGCTGAAAAAAATGACTGAACTAGACAAGACCTATACAGAGAGCTTGATTAGAGAATCCTTTTGGGAGAAACCTTGTGGGATTAGGATTTAAGTGGACATGCACACTGGCAAAGTGTCTGGCTGTCAGTGGGGGGGAAGTACGCTTGGAAGTTGGGCTGAGTGCCTGAAGAGATAGATGGTGAGGTGCTTTAATGGATAGGCTTCAAAAAGTCTTGTTTATGATACCGTCATTATTTGAACACTACTGTTCTCCTATCAGCCCCAAATCAAGCTTTGGGAAAGAAAAAAGCAGTACCTGGATCTTGGCTTCACAGTTCATCTAGAAGGGTAGAACTTTGACCATGCCTTTGGCCATTCTTAACTGACTTGTTTGAGCAAATCTCCACTCAGTGTGGCTCTTTTCACATTTCTAGGAGATGACTGCATATAGAATCAAATTCCTGTCCCTCACATTCTTAGCTAGCTGAACCAAGGCTAGCTCAAATCAAGTCCATATACCTCTGCTATTACCGTCCTGTACCTAAGCTAATTGACCACACAAGTGTTCCTGCTTGCATATTATCCTCAACCATCCTTGGGCACTGAGCTAAGAATGCCACGAGGTACAGCCGTTATAAGCACAACAACTAGCTGCTGATGTCCCTACCTTGGTGCCTTAACCTCCCTCCTGCACTTCATTAGCAACAGGGATGACTATTAATGAATTCACCACTCACCTCACTCACAACCCCTAGCTGCAAGAACTACCTAAAGGGTAACCATTTACTCGAGCAGTACTTTCCGAAATTGCTTCATTCCATGCCGAAAACAAGACGCGAGTATAGGAGTGTGTCTGTGTGCCTGTGATATTTCAGAGCCAGGTAATTAGGATACTTGGCGCAGGAGACACTAAGGCTTAACTCCTTTCCAGCTCTCTGCGATCTGATTTTGATTGATTTCCAAAGGCAGATCACACACACTTGGGCAAACCAGAAACTTCAGCTTGTATGTTATGCATTTCAGGCCAGGATGCTAGCCAATGAACTACTTTTATTCCCAAGAAAATAGTATATTCAGCTGAAATGATGCCCAAAAATAAACCAGAAAATATGACAACAAGAGAGGGAATACTGCACAGCCGCACAGCCACTAGCTCAGCATGTCAACAAAGCAGAGGCTAAAACAAAGGATGTGTGGTATGAACAACTTAACTTAGTGGACACCATATTCTGTATCTGACAGGTGGCCACAGCAGGATGGTAATGAAAACGTTGGCAAGGAAAGCACATATCCCTCATGCAAATTGAGCACAAGCATACTTGCACCCTGTTTGTGTCTGAGAGACGTGGCACTACTCAATAGTTGATGTGGCCAGCATTGCTGATGCATACTGAGATTGCTAAGTGGCTTTTCTGGTGCTGTCAATAGCAGAAATTCCATATTCTTCTTTGATGCATGAGTTTCAGCTGCTGCTTTGGGTCTGTTTGCTTCTGTTGTTCCTGGACTGCATTTCATTTCACTCCTGTTTGCTATTTACATCAACAGGTTAAAGCCATAGCTAAACACGATACACAATATGCTTTCACCACTGCACTCTCAATTAACTTTCTTCAGATTGACTACTGACACACGTTAGTTGTTTTTTTCTATCAATTATACTCATTAAAATCAAGAATAAATTCATCTGCAGTCAAGAAAATTAACACTGTGGAATTTTTCATAACAGTGAAAATGCATTTTAAACTGTATACTCTGAAGCTCAAGTGTTTTCAGCATTTTTCTCAGAAGGCATTAGCAAAATCCAACTGAATATATCTTTGTGCTCCGAACTGTTGCTATGCTGGTAGCTTTTTAACTCAAAGCAAAATATAAAGCTCAGCAATTTTTCTATGCTAATCTTGCATATTGTGTATTTATTAGAAAAGATGCTGCCATTCTGGCATCACAAAAATGACTAGTTAGCAAGGGCTGGATTCTTATGCTCTTACTCATCGAAGGAATAATTTGCTCAGCAGTGTGGTTAATTTCAATGGTACTACTCCTTGATTAAGACATGATTCAACATGACTTAAGTTACTTTAAAAAGGCATTCTGAATTCTAAGTGTAAAGATTTTTTTACAAGTAAAACAACTTATTCTAGAGATATTTCTTCTTCTGTTTTTAAATAATACCGCAATATGTAATTTACAGTACCAAACTACAGGGTGATTTAAAAAGTATTCTACCAATACTTATATAAAACAACAGGAAAGCAAAAGAACATTTCCTCCAGGAATCCAAAGTATTTGATATTTTTCTTACTCATGGAAACTTAATTTCACGACATGGAGTAGTGCAATAAAAATGTCACGTATCTTATTAATGCAAACAAATGAAACTGCCTTTTTAGAGCATGAACACCATGGCTTAAGTAGGTGGTAGACAGTTCAATAGAAAAAAAAAGCAATGTAGCGCTGGTGCAATTACAATCAGTCATAAGAAGTTAAACAATAACTTTTTGTATTCATAAAATATCAAAAAGAAAAATGGTAGAAGAAAAAATAGCCTGAGGGAAGATTTTGTTATACAGAAACAAGACCTTCCTACTCTCCATTTAAGATTTATTAAATAATGGCTGCAGCCAGTTTTCCTTACTCACATGAACAAAGCTGCAGAGGTCAAAAAGCCCCTTTGCAAAAGGCAAGTGAGCAGAATTTGCACAAATGACTAACGCCTTTATTCTAACAGTAAATAACAGGCAGCACAACTAGCCCACTCCCCCCAGTTCCAAATTTAACAGCAGATACTTGATTAAAAACCCATAAGCTTTCAATGTCAAGCAAGACTTTTAATTTACTCATTTATTTGGGTTTTTTCAGTTGTTGTTGGGCTCTTCCCCTGTTTGTTTTTACATTTCAGAAGCGAGTGCAGCTTCATTGCTCTTAACCACTCTGGCAAATGCAGAAAGTTCTTCTATACCTGAGGTATAATTATTTGCCTGTCATTATGATGTATGAGTTTCGATCCCGGCTAAATGGAACAGTTGAATCAGGAAGCCACGGCAGCCTTACCTGCGCCAATCACACGCTCAATTTTAATACAAGAGGCATCTAGCTCCTTGGCGAATTGATGGACAGCTCTATTTGGGTCCTCGTAGGTTTCAGGGTCAATGTAGGTTTTGGTGCCTGGAAATTTAACTGTAATGATGTAAGAAAGCATGACTGTGATGAAGCAAAAGCACTTATTGTGCAGTCAGCCCAGGAATTTCATTATGCAGAGTGCTCCTTGGAAGACTGAACCTGTTTCCATGCCGCCTGAGCCAGAGCTGCTCTGAGAGGCAACCTTAGTTTTAGGCATCATCTGCAAGCATGCTGACAGAAGTATATACAATCCCATCTCTAAAAAATGACTAACATTAGCATCTGCATGTCCTCTTGAACTGTAAGAAATAATAAATATTAAATAGTGCTTAATGGAATAAAATGGAAGGGTTGAGTGGGAGTAAAAACAAAGCGGGGAAAGGGTGTAACACCAGCAGAGGAAGTGAAAGTTTCTTTTCTGCATAAGGACATCTTATCCTCTTCACTCTAGATGTGTAAACAGCATTTCTTTGTGTTACTTCTCTCCTCTAGTGGGATTTGAAAGGTTTCTCCAACCCCTTGAATTTGCTCAATCTACTGAATATAATATTGTTTGTAGAGTGTGGCAATAGTCAAACTACTCCCAGCACTCAGAAATTGCATCCTTCAGTGTATTTCTTGCACTATAATATGAACATGAGAAAACACCTGTAGTCAACTTGTAAAGGCACAGGAAGGGAAAGTGGCCTCTGTGGCACAATTATCTCCCCTCTCAAGGACCTAAGTGAATATGCAGCAACTTGTTTTTCGCTCAATCTTTCTCTACGCTTAGTGCAGCTCAGGCAGCATAGTGCTCTGGCCAGCATGCAGTTTTTTTCCCTTAATTTGCTGATGATTCAGGTAAATTATTTTTTGCTATTCTGGTCAAAGTACAAACTCCTGGTGATAGCAGAACAACCCTGGAAATCTATTAATCAAGCAATATTTATGAAATAAATTTGCTCACAAGGATTACACTCTTGAGCTTTAATTAAATCAGTGAATTAAAACTCAGTATGAAAATGCAAAAATGTTCCTTTGTTAATTGATATACTCATATACAAGAACAGGATCAAAAGTCAATACAAAACACATATAGTTTTCAGTTGCTTTGTATTCTTCTAACTTAACATAAAATATATTAAATTTGAAAATACATTGAAAAACAGCTTAGTAATCATGAGTATTTTTGTTTTGTATTTCTGTTAATGTTTTATATATATATCTGTATTTATGTTTTAGATGGTATTAATGACCTAAATCCACAAACCATAAGAAAGAAAACAAAAACAAACCTAGAGAATTTGTTTCAGTAATATAAAGAATTTATAGCCAGGGAAATCATTTGAAATGTTGCCCAGATGCTGTTATCTGTCATATGATGTATTTAAATGGATGTTCTTTAGTTGTATTGGAAATTTGTACGCTGATTTTTTTAAATTATAAATATTTATTTCTTAAAACCAAAAGAGACAGGACAAAATGAGAATTAAGCAATAGGTTGACCTCTGGTAGTAGAGCTTTAAGGCAAGGAGATGGAGACATCCCCTTGTGCTTGTGATAAAGGGCCTGGATTGGAAGTAACCTTGCAAATCTCAAGTGGGCCTCTGATGGTTCTTTGTTCAAGCTGTCATAAAACATTTTGACAGGCCAAGGCCATCCTGGCATAGTAACATGAAATAATGCTGGCCTGCATTTGCAGACATTGTTAGATGAAAAAGGGAGGAGGAAACCAAATATAAATCTGAATTACTTGACTAAACTCCTCCATTGTACTTGTATCTTCAAGTGTAGCACTTGAGGTCAAAGAGAGATGACGGGAACTGAAATGAAATATATGATGGTCCATTAAATGCACTGCTTTAAAATCTGCTTTCAAAAATGTTTGCTTGTATGTTTTTGTTCTACGTAAGTGCTTGTTGTAATTTACATTTTTGAAAACCCAGTCTGGTACCTCAGTGCAGAAGAATGTTGTGTAGCTATTACAGAGCAAAAGGACACCAAACTGGTGTTCACAGCTCTGTGACAAAGCTGGTGACCACAGCGGTGGGATCCATCTCACTCTGTACACGGCTATCAAATGAAATTAAATGCTACACCTACAATCAACAGATGAAGGAAAACTACTTTGGCAAGAAGTAACTTTTATCTGGTGCCATGATTTAAGGAAGACTGTGTATGCTCAATATTCAGGCTAAATTGCTAGATAAGCAGATTTCTTGAAAGTAAAATAAGGGAAAGAAACACTAATAAAATCTCACCATTTCTGAATCAACTATCAATTATTAAGTTTTCAAATTAATTAATTTACACTTTTACTGAAATAAAAAAAAAAGTCACCAATAATGGAGGTAAAAATTATTTAATTAGCGTATCCCTTTTGTTTGTATACTGACATACAAGAATACATAGTTGATCTTTTCCTTCAAGGACATAATGGGGACTTTAAAAGTAAAAGGTAGTAGCTCTTCAGGAGATGTGGAAAGCTTATAATGCATTATGAGAATCAAATTTCAAATCCATCACTCCCAGTAGAGTAGCGTTTAAGTAAAATGAGATTTTTGACAAATTCTTTAAAATCAGCCGCACTGCAAATTGCGTAATAGATAATTCTTATTTCATTATTATTTTCCACCTTTCTGGCACAGTTTATGAACTGAATGACTAAAGCTGCAATGATGTCACTACTTAGTTTGACGCTCACTGCATTTAAACAATTTAGATAGCCATACACTCAGACTTGGGAAATGTGATCAATTTCCAGCCGATTTTTTCAGGAAAGAAAGGTAAAACAGAATCTTTTGAGTGGACCTTTAGCTAGAACTATTCATTTAAAGATGAAAACATTGACAAATGCTTAGGATTTATGACTAGTGGCTACTTCCTTTTCCATGTGGCATTACTTTTAGATAATAGCTCATGATTTTAACAAATCCAAAACAAACCCTATTGCTTTCATAAAAAAACCCATAATAATCTGATGGATTTAAGCTACAACTGCAATTATTGGAAGACAACAAAGGCTAAATACACCACAGCATGACTAAACAGCATGTACTAATATGAGAGTGATCAGGTATGGGAGAAGACTGAAAAGACTGGCATTCTTCTGCATCTTACTTATGTTCAGTATAATTCTGTGTTTTTTTCAATTACGGTTGCTCAAAATAATTTTGCAACTTAGTTTAACACAGTTCCTGAGTTAATGTCTAATTCTGAAACAGATTAAAACATCCCCCTTCCATTTTCAATTGTCATTAACCCAAGAAAGATGTGTTTTAATGAGTTTTCCCAGGGTTCTAGTTTAAGTTGAGATCGTAGATGTGATTTTAGCAAGTGTGGCTTTAGGTACTATTCTTAGCTAGGCAAGTGAGTCTAGATCACACAACAGTAATGAAGTGGCTGACCTTTCTTTTCATATTAAATATTCTAATTTTAAGGACATTATGTTTTATAAATATTGATGGTGCTACTGTATTCACAGTAGCAGAACACAGCTTTTGAGCAGAACAGCTTCATTTTAGGGTGATGCAGTGACTCACTTTCTTAATCTGTAGTTTGCCTGAGGTAAAAAGATCAAAAAGTCGCTTAGGCAAAGGTGTCTTGAATACTGCACCCCAGAGGGATCATTAGGACAATGTGAAACATGTATTCAAAGCAACGAAAAGAAAACAAAAAATGCAGAATGAAAACAACAGTATATCATAGACATATATAGAAATAAAACCATCTGTCTGAGCAATGTTGACTTTAATCTGCATTCTTTTTGTGTAGGTCACATTTTTACAGTGTTTAACTTCCCACTTACTATTTACACAGCATTTTTGAATTTCCTATGGCATTATCTTTTATGGAGTCTTGGTTTGGTATTGTCTACATTATTGCAACTTGGAATTTTTGAAAGGGGGGAAAAAAAAGCAATACACTTACAATGAAAGTAAAGTTCTTCATCCCCTTCTTGATCTGCTTTGCTATAGCCACAATGCCTGAAAAGAAAGGAAAACACCAGTTTTACTAGTAAATAAGTATTTACTCCTCACATCTAAAGTCCTGACAAAATCAGTTCTGCAGGCTGGGATTTTCAGGCACTGAGCACCTAACTTCTGCAGGCCCTTTGAAACTTTCACCTATAATTCTATTGACAGCAGAGTTTTAAATAAATCATGAACAGTTGCAATCAAAAGGCTTTTGTATCAAATACCAGTCAGGACAGGTCCTAGAGAAAAAAATTCTAGTTCTGGTAAAAGGCTTCTACAGATAAAACAGAGGATTAAAGAACTTGAAAGTAGAGCACTGTTTTACATGAGGTTATTCTTAAACTTACTGCTGTGTCTCTTTTTCTTGAATGTAAAGTCATTTAAAGGCTGATCAGATAAAGTGTCAGACTTCTCCATGTGAGAAAACTGAACAGAAAGAGAGACTTTGAGCAGTACAGGTAAAGAACCTGCTAGGGGTTCCTTTTAAAGCACATTTACATAGGACAAAAAGAACATCTTGATACAAGTATTGTGCCAAAGTAAAAGGACAAACCATATAATTGATAACAGGATTTAAATGAAAACTGTTCCTACTTAGAATTATTTCTGTTTCAGTTTTGCAAATTACTATCTCAGGTTTGACTGTGTCTCAGGTGTTCACAAGAGTGGTGTCAGATGTGCTTACATCCATCAAAGATGCAATACCTTCGTCCAATGATGAATCCAAACACCATGAAGACCAGGATGATAGTTCCCGCCACAGCAACCACAGCTATGATAATAACAGGATTCTGCTCACTGGAAACAGCTGTGGCTACAAACAGAGCACAGAGTTGAGATTAGTTAAAAACTAATCCCTGCTAAGGGACCTCAAAAATTTAAGTCATCATCATGAATTGTTGACTGTCTACTTTGTAGACTGCCTTTGTCTGAAACAATTCCATTGATAAAGTTAGTCTAAAGAAGGGCCTCTATTGGAAATTCAACTAAATGCTGTATGAGTTAATGATTGTCTACACTGAATAAAAAGAAGCCAAGATGGAATTTCCTTGACCAAGTTGGTACAGCCATTAGCTGAAAGCCAGCACCACTAGCATCAGTCACTTCCACTCCCTACTACTACTTTGCTGCATGTGTTTTGACTCCTTCCTTAAAGGGGAGCCCTGGATATCCCTGTAAGGAGGGACAGCAGGAGGGTAATCCCTAACTCTGCTCCTAGCCTCCCCTCTAAAACTCATTGATATGACTTTGAGGGTTTCCAAGGAAATAGTGTCTTTAAGAAAAATGTTTGAGCTGAAAAACTATTAACACAGATTTCCTAGGTAGCATACTTCAATCCCTTACTGCTATTAATCATTGTAAATGGCATTATTACTTACCATTTGTTTCTGTTAGCAACAAAAAGGTGCTTCCACATTAACACAAAATGGAATTCTCCATGCTTCAGAGAATTTACATGCTAAAATATCCACACTATTGCTCTTTTTATTCAGATGTGCCAATTCTATTAATATATGCAAATGTGTACATGTCACATTAATGTAAACTGAGGATGTAAATACTTAGCCTGAGAAACCCTGAGTTAAAAACATTGTTTGCCTGACATCTAATAAGGGTGGCTATGTACTCAGACACATTAAATAAGCACAGGTCTCCTGAACTCTGTGGAGATGCACTGGTTTGTAACAGTGAGGATCTGAACCAGGAGATGAATAGAGGATGAGACATGAGGGACTGCGTAAGTGAGAGTCAGCAGGAATCACAGAATCACAAAATCATACAATCATTTGGGTTGCAGAAAACCTCCAAGATCATCAAGTCCAACCTTTGACTGAACACTACCATATCAACTAAACCATAGCAGTAAATGCCACTTAGAGTGGCACTTGGAACACCCCTCTGGGTGGCCCTTTCCAACGCCTAATCACTATGGATGCTAACTATGAAGCAGGGAGCACAGTGCCTGTGGATTAGCAGGCCACATAACTTTCTCAGTCTCGCCTGAGAAAGTGGCCTGGGAAATCATAAGGAAGAATTAAAACAATCCTCACAGATAGAAGACAGCCTTGCAGGTGCTGTTTGTCTGTTCCTTGCTTTCTTGCAAGAGAAGGTCGAGGGGTGGTGTACCCCACTGACCAATGATGGTGATGTGTTAGTTTACTAACCAGTAAGAGTTTTTCTTTTCTGTACTTTCACCTATCAGTCTATAAAAGAAGATCTGAGGTAATAAACCTTAAGAGAAAAAACTCTCCTGTTCAACACACAAGAGAGTCTGTGTCGCTCTTCTCGCCATTCCCAATAGAGCGACAAATCACCTGGTCAGTGACAACTTCCTGACATCCCCTGGTGCATCTTGAGGCTCTGTCTTCTTGTCCTGTCACTAGATGCTTGGGAGAAGAGACTGAGCCCCACCTTACACAGAGCTCCACTCAGGCACCTTTAGAGAGTGGCTCCTCCCTGAGCCTCCATTTCTCCATGCTAAACAACCCCAGCTCCCTCAGCTTCTCCTCACCAGACTCGTGCTGCTGCAAGCTCTGTCACCCTTCTCTGGACACACTGCAGAAATTCAGTGTCCTTTTCAGAGTGAGGGGCCCAGAAGTGGATACAGGACCTATGGTGTGGCCTCACCAGCACCAAATACAGAGGCATGACCACTATCCAAATCCCACTGGTCACAGTATTTGTGAAACAAGCCAGGATGCCACTGGCCTTCTTGGCCACCTGGGAACACAGTTCATGTTCAGCCAGCTGTTGATCAGCATCCCCAGATCCTTTTTCACTGAGCCACTTTCCAGCTACTCTTCTACTGGCCTGTAGTGTTGCATGAGGTGGTGGTGACCCAAGCGCAGGACTCAACACTTTGCCTTACAAACCTCATACAGCTGTCTTTGGCCCACCAATTCAGACTGTCCAGATCCCTCTACAGGAATTTCCTATCCTCCAGCAGATCAACACTCCAGTCCAACTTAGTGTCAATATAATTATTATATATTATGTATTATATTATAATATTATATATAATATTATGACTATATCATAATAAATATAATATAACAGGACTAGCCCCATTACTGAGTTTAGGGGAGCCCCACTAGTGACCATCCACCAGCTGGATGTAGCACCATTCACCACCACCCTCTGGCCTGGCCATCCAGCTATTTTTTAACCAGCAGAGTGCTCCTCTCTGACCCATGGGCTGCCAGTCTCTCCAGAAGAATGCTGTGGGAGTCAGTATTGAAGGCTTTACTGAAGTCTAGGTGGGCTACATCCCCATAGCAGGTAACTTGGTAATAAAAGGAGATCAGGCTGGACAAGCAAGGCCTGCCTTTCCTAAGGCCAAGCTGGCTCCAAGGTGGCTGTACCTGATCCATTTGTTGTCCTGTATGCACTGTGTGATCGCACTCAAGCTGATCTGAATCATGTCCTTCCCTGGCATCAAGATCAAGCTAACCTCAGCCTGTAGTTCTCCAGACCCTCCTTCCAACCCTTCTTGTAGATGAGTGTCACATGGCCAATCTCCAGTTGTCTGGGACCTCAGCCTTTTCCTCATCCTTAGTTACACTCCTCCACATCAAGAAAAGGATTGATATTTTCCTTGACCCTCTTTTTGTTGGTAATTTATTTATAAAAACACTTATTATCTTTCACAACAGTGGCGAAATAGAGTTCTGGTTGAGATTTCACCTTCCTAGTTTTCTCTCTACATGACCTAATAACATCCTTATATGCTTCCTGAGTTGCCTGGCTCTTTCTTCCAAAGGTCATAAACTTTTTTTTCCCCTGAGTTCCAGTGAAAGGTCCCTACTCAGACATGCCAGATTTCTTCCCCACTGGCTCACCTTTGAGCACCCCGGGATGGCCTGCTTCTGCACCTACAAGATTTCCTTCCATCTCCCTGTTTGTTACCCATACTGTGTGCACTGGTGTAGATGCACTTCAGTTGTGCTGATTTCACCCCAACACTGGCATGCCACCCCCAGACTCACCTCTACCGAGCCTGGTCTTACCCCCTTCCCCTTTCAAACCTAGTTTAAAGCCCTGTCAATCAGCCCTGCAAACTCATCAATCCTTTTCCCCTTTTTAGACTGGTGAACCCCATCTGTCTCCAGCAGACACTCCCATGACTGAAATGCAGCCAACAGGTTAAAGAGATGGAAAAAAGAAAACTAAACTGATAGCTGATTAACTAAATGAATGGTATGATAATATAGTTTACTGCTGGTACTGGTAACGGAACAGGAATATCTACACCAGTATTTATGAACTCCACAGAACTGAGTTCCTGTTACACACTTCAGAGATTCCCATAGAAACAAATTACTCAGACTTTTCTTGGGAGAAGTGAGCCAATCAACATGATTTATTTTGTCACTGACACCGACCTGTACCAGCTGTTTCCCCCCAAAATAACAAACCCCTTGTTATATACTACACAGATTTAGAATAGTCTTCACTGGAGGGAAATTACACACACATGCATACGCGCACCCCTCTAATTTTATTTCCTGAAGGAACTTGTAATTTTTCTATATTCTTGCTAATGCAAATGAGGAAGTTCACACTATTCCTATAACTCTTTAACTAAAAAAGAATGCTTATCTTTAAGTAACTATAACTTTCTGTGATACACAGGTCAATAGGATGCTACTGTAGACTTGCCTATATTCCACTCATCCAACTTTTAAGAAATCAGTGGTGACTGTCTTGTGCAAGAGCATAGGGGCATAAATCATACAATTCAGTTCCTGTAACTTATCTAGGCCATCAAAACAGACAATCCCAAGGAATGTCAAATTTCTGTAAAATACAGCATTTCCTTAAAAGGTTCCCACCTCTCTGAACTTCACTGCAAGCCTCACTTGGAAGTGAAGAAGAGGCAGCATCATAATGGCCAGGGTGTGAAGCTTCATCCATCCAAAAAAGTTTGGAAAAATGCCCAGCCTGTCACCTAGTCCAGTAGCCAAGATAAGTGCATAGAGGCTGACATATGTGAGTGGGTTGCTCTATGTAAGTGCCTCACAGATTTTGGGTACTGGCACATTGTGGAAGCAAGCAGACAATGTTTTTTGGGCTCTGGAAAATACTGGGGACATGGTACACTGTCAAACTGGTAAGACAGGTGGGATGCAATGTATGATTTATTTTAATATCTTTAAAAAAAGAGGGGAGGGGGCTGATTGTGGGCATGGTCTGGTATAAATTCAGTGACAAGATTCAGTGTAAGATATCTGCCTCTGTTCAGGTACTCTGCTGCTTCTCCTGTGTGATGAAGTCAGTCTGTTGGTGTAAGGGTGAATCAGAACACAGCTTCTGGAACGATCCCTGTGGCTTGGCAGAAGCAAAGATTCAGTGTTCTTAGAGGAATGATTTTAGGATGCAGAAGATCTTTTCAGGGGGTGCATGCATGGCTACCTGTCACTGGCAATGCCACAACAGCGATGACAGGGAATCAGCACCAGGACAGGAAAGTCCTTACCTCTGCTTAAATTGTGCTCAGGCTCAGAGGGTGACACAGGGAGCTGGTACTTGGGCATTCAGCAACAGCTGACACCTGATCCCAGCTATGAGATGTGCGCATCCAATGCACAATGTTTAATTTAAAGGAGTTAAATCAGCTTTTAAATAGATGATTGTAGGGATGGGGAATACATATCTAAACACCCCGGAGGATTTAGGAAAGGGTAACAGCTGAAAATGCTGTGCTGCTGCTCCTGCAACCTTTCCTCATGCAAGAAACTTCAAGAGCACGATTTCTGGAAAAGAATTCATTTTCACCATGAAAGCTCCAGTGATAACAGGATCCATGTATGCCAAGTACTACTTTCTTAAGCATTGTGCTTTATGCCTTCTATATAAATTTGTAGTATTGGTATTTCAGACTTTAGAGATCAATTTTACATATGCTTAATGCTTCAATCTTGTTCGATTTAGTCTGATTCAAGGAAAAGGAAAAAGCAAAGACTTTATGCCAGGTTTTGTCAAGTGCTTCTACTTTAACAGTGAGAGCTGTAAAGAAGTCAAAGATTGCACTCAATGACCTCAGAGGTCTTTTCCAACCTAATTGATTCTCTGATTCTGTAAGCGAAAAAAATCTTCTCCATTACAAAAAGCAGAGGATCATCTTTAGGTCCACTGGCTACAAACCACTTGACTTGACTTTTAAATACTTCAGTGAACCAAGAGATAGAATTTCCACTTAAGTGGTACTTTTTATGTTTGTATGTTTTTCCAGAGGGATTTCTGTTTCTAATAATCAGCCAACAAAAGAATACAACTAAAGCCATTGATTGATCTGTGGCAAACACAGTGTAGAACAGAAATAGTCTGCCTTTATAAAGCATGTTTACTTCATAATTTTGAAATTTTTTCCATAAATATTTATGCAAAATCCAACATCTATGATATGATCCAATACAGGTTTAATATATGTATATTTTACATCTCAGATAATATTAATATAGTGGATATAATTCTTCAGATATTGAAAAGTGGCTATACAGTTTCTATCACAATTCAGAAAATAGCACACGACTCCAAAATCTACTTAACAGCACGAACCAAACAGTGCAAACCAGTGGAAGTGCCAGGACAAATCCAGATAGGCAAAATGACTAACTGAATGTGGCAGTCATTATACGTATTCTTACATAAATACATATCTGTGTACTTTTTTTCTTAAAATATTTTGACATTTTTAAAAGCTTCATTCAGAAATCCACTGGAATAATGAGAAGCCAAAGCCTCTAAACTGTAGCATAACATGGTTTAGTGTTCACATGCATGGTACTTCCCTTGAGGGATATTTCCCAAGAACAATCCAATAAAGGTGTGCCTTTAAAATGCTAAGAATGAATTTGATGAGTCTGTAAGTTCTGATAAAACTATAAATAAAACATAAGAAATGAATACTTTCATGTAAAACAATTTTAGAAGAGTTTAATGGAATTTTCTATTTTTTACCAACATTTTCATTATTTCTGAAAACTGTATATGGGAAATTTTTGATGTTTATCTTTGCTAGGAATTATATTTTATAATGTTGTCTCAAGATAATGGAAAATATGCTACTTTTAGAATTTTCTTTAATGAAAACACAGGACATTTTTCATGGCATCTCAAAGCATATAGCTGGCCTGTGACAAAAGAAACCTGCTGTGCATCCTGGCCAAGAATCTTGGTGGTTTATATGCATTTTTTCATTATCTGAGTCAGAAAAGGAGTACAGGAAAGTGGTCAGTGATGCATTTATTATAGGATTTCCTAATCTCCCATATGTTGACCAAACTCCAGTCAAAATGGTTTATCTTTGAAATCATCTTTGCTAAGCTTAGCAGCTACCAGTCTGCTTACATTCAGTATGTAAAAAATACTCAGATAATTAAGGAAATGTTGGGGAAATATTTTGATGTACTAATTTTAAACCACTATGGACAATAAATTATCTAATTAGCAGAAACTTATTATGACAGACTTCTAATTTGTTTTCCAGAAAACTATTCAAAATAAGAAATTAATTCTGGCTGTACCTCAGGTTCCCATTTTGCAGAATGGGGATTCTGCTACCGACTCTTTCTACAGATGGGAAGTATGCTATTAGACACAGAGCTAATAATATTAGTAATAACAGCTTACTGCTGCTATTATGATAATTACTGTTTCAATTATGTCTATTAGATATGTGGTATTATTCATTATTTATAGTTTTTATATGCTGTGTGGAACTGAGGTGGAATCAAGACCTAACTACTGCATATTAAGAATAACCACAGGTTGTTCAGGCGACACCTGGCTGCAATTAATAGGACGCAATAATGTGTGTCTGCACTGTCTTAGCTAGACTGCTGCACACAGAGGGTATGGCATCCATATCCTTGGAACTCATAGGCTATGTATTCCTATATTCCCAGCCCCAAATCCAGATGACCTGATGTCAAGGTCAACCTGAAGCAAATTCTCTAAACCAGGGTAACCAAATTTAGGTGTGCAGCATGTTGGAGCTGCCAGGGACACAGTTCCTGTGAAGGGGCTCAGGGCTGCCAGGTCTCACTGATGGAAGAAATTTTTTTGTTACACAGCTCACAACTTATATAAGCCTGAAAGGAACTTAGTATCTTTGAAATTCCCATTTCTTTACTAAACTGAATTGCCAATGAATTCAAAATATACACTAAAGATGGACTTACTGAAGACACACACATAAACAAAACTACCAAGTTGCTGTCTTTTGGTTTTTTTTTCAGAAAATCAAATGGAAAAAAATACTCTGGAAAAGTCTCTCTGTGTTGAAATCTCCTCCTTCCTTCTCTCCCCAGTTACAGAAGAATACTCTAGCTGAGTTACTCAGCTCACCACTACTCACTTCTCTTGTGGGGAAAAGTGTGTATTTGAATTAGAAAGAAAAAAAAAAAGGCTTGTGTATTAGAAGGACAGCAAAGGAAAAGAACCTAATGTAACAAATGTAAGTCTCCTCCAGCCAATTACAGGACTAATTTTCATTTTACGGTAAAATATATTATGGAAGATCATCCTTCAAAACACAATGACAAAATCCACCTTCTTGTAGAACTAAATTCTTTCTAATTGTAATTATATTGCTTATGACTCTTTCTTTTCTTGCTTTACCTGTGGCTTCTTCCAGTGTGGCAACATCCAGTCTGGGGCTGTAATTTCCATAACCAGCAGCAGTAAAAGCACGAATCTGGAAAACATACACTGTTCCAGGCTTTAGGTTATTAATAGAAGCTGAAGTGGACTTGGTTTTCACTGTTGAATAGGTCCTCTCCCTTTGATCCTGGAAACAGTAAGACAGAAGATTAAATGACATTTACATATCCAATTTTGTCATGATTGCCCAACAGCAACTGACAGCCAGACTGGGTAGTTTATTTCAATTTGCTGAATGCTCTTTTCCCCCAACAACAAAAATAAAGCATACTCTGTGGAGTATTACAAAACATTGTCAATGCAATGAAGAGCTCTAAGTGTAACATAAAATTCAAATGGGATGCTCATGTTGTTATTCAGAAAACATCCAAACAATAAATGATCACTTTTTTTGCTTTGATTAAATTTTGTGAAATTTTGATGAGAAATAACTCAGCCACAGCTTTCCCGGGGAATCTGTGAGGTCAAAACAGTTCAAGGACATGGAAATTCTTCTTTCCTGGTCAGAACATGACAATCATAGAGCCACACAACCTGCCTTCATTCTGCATTAATTTGGTTTATAGCTGTCAGAATTTTTTTATTTCTAGAGCACTTCAAAGTTATCGGGAATGAAGTCCTAGACATTGTGAAATAAATGGAAAAACTCTGACTGACATCATTACTTTGACATTTTACCCTTCCATCACTTCTAAAAAATACAATATCGCCAATGTATAATTGGTTGGATTTTGCATAATTTCTGAGGTCCTTAACTCAGCTTTCACTTCAGATTTTTATCTCTGACTTTTAGTCTTTTCTCAGTTTTAGACTCTAAGGCATAAAGAGGAACCCAGGGAAAGAAGCTCAGTATGACACTCCTCAAATTTGAAGCTGAAAGATTACAAACCCTATGAGTAATAACTCACTTTCAAATAGTACAAAAGCTGTATCACAGATCATTAGAGTATTCAAAAAGCTCTACTTATTCATCACATTTACCGACACAGATTATGTTTCAGCACAGATATGTGAAGCCCTGTTGATTTTTGGTGGCAGATGCAACCCTGATTTGAAGGGCAGAAGAGATGAATTAACCAACCATCTGAATGCACCACATGACCAGAGAAGCATGAGCCGTACGCAGCAGTGCTAATGAGACGGATACAGAGGGAAGGAATAAATCTGTAACTCATTTCAGTAATACTTCACCAGCTAAAAGTGATGGAGAGCTGTCCCTGTCACAGTCAGTAAAGCAACAAAGGCTTTTGCTGAAATACAGGGCTATACAAAACATACATTATTTCTCCTCTCAGATTCAGTAAGGGCTTCTCCTGGTTCTTGCCCAGTTTGTTACTTGAGCAAGCCCACAGTCTTGGCTAGCAACAATTTTACATATCTAGAATTTTCCATATCTCTCCAAGAGAATTTAAATAATCTGTAAGTGAGGACCATGGCAGAATGTACACTGGTATATGAGAAAGAGCAGGAATGCTTGGGAGATGAGAAACAAGAGTAAGGAAATCATAAATAGTCAGGTTCAGGACTGTAAGCCGCAGTGGAATTTCATTTTGGGTTTAGATGCATAAACGAGGCTTATTGGAATTGCCAAAAGTCCTTGTATTCAAAAATAAATAAATAACAAAAAAATAAAAATAACCTGCGCTAGAAATCTCACAGGACAGGCTTACTTTGGAGATTTCAAGCAGCTTCCATTCCAGCCCTAGCCAGAAGTGAGAGGTGAAAAACACACTTATCAGAGTATTTCAGAATGACAAAAATGTTTGATTTAATTTGGCTCTAAAAGGAGCTGAAAGTTCAAATCCTTTTAATTTCCTATTTTTTTTAAAGTAGTGGAACAAAACTCAAATGGCCTCTCTTGTTCTGAGCAAGAAGATTATGAAGTAATTTTAAAGCTGAAATGCAATTTTTTGGAAGGAAAACAACCATTTCAGTACTTGTGCAAAAATTGCCTCAGTTAAAGTTATATAGTCCAGTTTATCTGTGACTGTTAGAATGAGCTTTTTATTCTCTTGTATTAATTTCACTGTATAAGTATAATACTGGAAGATGTCCTTCCATTAAAAAAAAAAAACCTTAACATAATTTTTTCTCTTTGTAAACATAGAAAACTGGCAATGAAATTCTGCTGGTTATTTAAAATGAGTATATAGGGAAAATAATAAAAGCCACACTATAAAAGCTATTATTATATAAGAAGTTGGGTATCTTGGCAATTCTTCTGTCATTTTACACTACCCATTTAAAAGATTTATTTTATTTGAACAGATTAGAAACTGCTCGGCATATGAAAAAAAATCTAAGATTTTTGGTTCTCAATTTATTTTATTTTTTTTTTTTTTGGTTCAGAGGATAGTTTTGCCCTTGCTAAATATGTAAAGTTTTAAAAACACTTGCATTTTATTTGCATGTGTATGTATACACACATGCTGGAGGAACAAAAAATTATCTGCTAAATTAGTAACATTTCTTCCAAAGAATCATTTAGTGACTAGTACCTATCTGCTAGATTTTGTTATAAGAATCATTAGAATGAACAACTTAAACTGGAAGCTAACATCAACAAATAAAAATGTTATTCCTTTCCCAAATTGTATAAAGATCTTTTGATAAGTATATTTGTGTAATTCAGCACTGAAAATGAAATATGACACTTGATAATACATCCAATCTGGGCTGAATTTACCTAATTCTGTGTTACCTAGTAAGCTGACATGCTTTTTTTGATATAGGGGTACTGTTACCTTGCTGGCAGAAATGTCTTCATGACTGACTACAAAGGAGCCTCTTTATTAATTTTATTTTTTTCATTTTAATTTATTTTCTTTTTTTTTTCCACAGAATGTTTTATAAAAATTAGGAGTATGTTACATTATGCAGTCAATTTCCCAGGGAATCTGGAGGAGCCAAACTTAGTCTGGGTCCCATGACAAACATAGAGCTGCACAACCTGCCTTCACTCTGCTTTCATCCAGTTTACGCTTGTCAGAATTTTTTCATTCTGCAGTACTTCAAAGTTATCATGAATGAAGCCCTAGACATGCTGAAATGAATGGCAAAACTCCGACTGACATCAGTAAGATTGCAATTTCACTCTACCAGAAATAGAGATCACTTCATCTACTATTGAAAAGCAGCCTTCAATTCATTATTGTGTTGAGAGAACAAGTGAAAAAAAAAATTCACAGTCGTGGTCCTTTTTAAAAGGACAAACAAGGAATATTTATTTCCTAAAAGCCTAGGAAATGTTTTGAAAGTTTTCAGACATCAAGTAGAAACAGGCCAGCTCATAAGGAAATACAAAATGCAGTCGGGAGTTGTACTTGATACATCATTTCAAGACTAGAATTACATTGATACAGAAGGAAATGAAACAAGCTTCAAGCACAACGTAGAATAGATGTGAAAATGGCAATATAATGGTAAAAATATCCAAGTACAACTTAACAATTAAAAAAAAATGTAAAGAAAGGCAGATTTCAAGTGTATGTTTCATTTTTAGTGTGCTAAAATACAATATATGAGACATATGATAGCAATAATAATTGCAGGATTTAGCTAGTTATTAAAAGCAAGCAGAATCACTGACTTTGGAGAGACAGGGTAGTTGATAGCTGATGACTTTAACACTGTTCCACAACGCAGCAAGCCAGCATAAAGCAAACAACACATTGTTGCACATTACAGATAATCTTAGCACTTACTTTCTCATAATACTTGATTTCATATTCAGTAATGACTCCATTGGGATGTTCTGGTTCCTGCCAGGAAAGCTCCACGCTCCTCTGCAGCACTCTTTCTTTCATTACGCCACTAACTTGCGAGGGAGCTGTTTGGACAAGATGTGTCAATAAATAAAAAGCAAATTCATTGGATGCCTAAAATCAAATGTCATTACTGATCCACCCCATGCTGAGCCACCTTCATTAAGGTAAAAGAAAGCACCTTTTCATAGCTCACAATTCAAAGCTAATGAATATTCTAGCAGATCCCTAATACTATTCATAAACTTAGAACAGAAATTGAACTAAAGAGCAAACAGCAAAAGGTGTCAATGTTCCTGTTAGTGCAAAACTGAGATTGATGGGATAGGAAAAACAATTAAGCAAATTAATTCTGATGATGATAGCAAATCAAATTTTTAGATTGATGTGTAGTAAATTAAGAGTTTAAATATTTATTGCATGTGTTTCTGAAATGCACATAAAACCAGAAATAATCTTTTAGAAACAAAATCACATTTTAGGCTGATTTGATATGACTAATTCCAGTTCTGCTTAGAAATAATCTCTCACATTATCTGATTATGACATGACGGTGATGAAAACGACTTTGTTAAGAGACTAAGCCCACTCTTTTTCGTTAGTTCAAACCTTTCCAGGACATTTTCTTTTCAGAGCTAAGTTTCCATATTTGGTCTTAGCATTTTTGAAAGTCCAAGACAATTTAAGGAGTAGATCTCATGGAACAAAGGGGACACTGTCTTTCTCCGCCTCACTCTACAGAGATATAAATAAATGCACACTTTGTGCATGCACATAAACACACACTGAGTATCCTAATAAATATCGCCCACAAACAAGGACCTTTTGAAATTAAAAAAACCCCACAAACCTAATATAAAAGCATTACAGAGACACTGACTCTCATATAAAAATGTGTAAGAGAATGTAATAAACTGTGAGAGACTAAAAAAATAACTCACTTTCTCAACTTATTTTTAATGAGAAAGACAGTAGATATTTTGCTTATGTGCAGCTCAAAGGAGGCCAAACATCACAGTCTTCCTCAAACATACACACTGAATTTAGAACAGAAGTCCTGTAAAAATACAGCACTTTGAAAAACAACTATGGTATTGGAACCATGCAGAACTTGATCTTGTTCTCATCCAGTTTAATGGAAATCAATTTTGCTCATGCAAAAGATAAAGAAAGAGAGGACCTGACCCTCAGCCCCCTACAGTTAAAAGCTAAATGCCATTTACATGGATAAGGACTTGGTCTTGAGGCAGATCTCAGACACAAGAAAGATGTCTGAGATAAATTTATTAGAAATAATATAATAGAGATAATACTAGAGATATTAAAATAGAGATAATTTTCTATCTTTTTCTAACACAGAATCTAATATTGATTCTTTATTGAAATTTTTGTTTAAAAACCCTGAAAATTTAAAATCTTTTATGTAAAAAACACACCACCTTATTTCAGAACTCTGTATAAAGCTTTCACCATGTAAAATTATGTAGTCTTCAGATAAAACACAATTCTTATCCTAAGCAACAAGGTGATCTTCACTTTCTCTAGTTTTTTAAAATAACATAAAACCTCTCAAATGAACACTCCTGTATCATTAAATACAAAAACATAATGATAAAATTAAAATACCTACAGCACAATCAAGAAAATAATTCTCAAAAAAATTAAATTGGATTGTTAACTTCCTACTGCAATTTTGAAGTTTCTAGGATTTTTAAAAATTTTAACATGTATGTTCATGTAGGTTTTAAAGATTTGTTTACATTTTATTGGAGGCTCAAAGAATACATGAAAATTAGGGACTGAAGTCATGCATGATAATTTTCATTATAAACTATTATGTTGTATATAATCAATACAATCAAAGTTGAAGATCTCTTACTCTAGGCTGCCTAACTGATAAAATCATAAAATTGTATCAGACAAACACCCTGTGCTGCCGCACAAAGCCAGGAGCAGTGTCACTCTCCTTGCATTCTATTTCTAAAAGCTTAGAGTATTTTCACTCTTTAATTAGTGAAATATATTCTTTTTCATAGCTAGGACTCCAGAATGCAGCAAACTAATTTACTGTCTAGTTTTCTTTGACATGATTAACTAGTCGTCTTCTTTGCCTAAATAAATACCCCTGCATCCTGAATGTATTTCAGGGAGGTCATTATATTTCATGTGTAATTTTCTATCTCGTACAGATAAATGTTTCTCAAATTGCTAATCTTACATTCTCAGATGTCTGAAATTGTTAATGTTGGTACTTATCATTGAACAATTTTGTATTACCTAGGTCACTGGAATTTGTTCTCCATGTTTCCTGCTTTTTGTTTTTGCTTATCAAATTTTTTCATTCCGTTGGCCACAGCATTCATTTTTCTTAAAGCAGTGAAGCAAAATAAACTTGATATTAGTTAACTCTGTGTATGTGGGGAAGGAACAGGAATGTGAAGGAGGAGAGACTGAGAGAGGGGGAAGATTTTAATCAAGGAAATGAAATACACTGTGTGACATTCCTACTTAACACCTGCACAAAGTACAACAATAGCAGGCATATTACATTCTTAAATAATTTCCCTTCAAAATAAAACCCCAGTGATATATCTGCATTGCAAGACAGCATTCAAATTGGTTTGGTTTGGGGTTTGTGTGTGGGGTTTTTGGTAATTTGTTTTTGGTTTGGGTTTTTTGAGACCAAAACTAAAAAAACCAGTTGTGCTACCTTTCATTCGTAGAATGGGGAAGAAGAGAAGATCCAAACCTGCAGCCCAACCTTGCATATGTTGGTAGCTCTGAAGAGAAATATGTCACATGTAATTCCCATACCACGTGAGATTCCTAAAATGCAGCATGCTACCTAAGCTTATTTTGAGTCCCTGTGTTTTTCAGGGGAAGAAGGGAATCATTAAATTGACTGAAGCCAGAGTATCCTCCTCTGGCAAGGAACACCAGTTTGTTTTCACTGCACAGAAACCTCTTCGAACTAGAGCAGCCACATAAGCCAACCCATTGACGTGAGAGGGCAGGCTATCTTTATCCTGCCTTTTGGGCTGCAATTCTTGATCTCTGCTTAACGAGAGTGTACAGGTCAGAAGCATTTTGTTCTTTATTCTAGTATAATAATTTCCTCTTTATTCTCTTTGTGGCTTTCTTAAAGATGGTTTTACATTCGTGTTTTATTTGTTATGGCTTCCTGACACCTCTTTTTAAACCTTTAGCCAACTTCTTATTGCCTATCTATGCTAATTAATTAACAAGTTTTTATGGTTTTGAAACAACTATATATGAGCAAGCTTGAAAATTAGTTAAAGAATACAATTCATCCTTAAATACAATAAGGAATAGTAAGTTAGGGAATTAAATTTCCCTCCCCCCCAAAAAAAATAAGAAAAGATAACTCCATAAAAACAGGATTAAAGATAACGTATTTTCTCTCATTTCTAGCTAAACCAATAACAATAATAACACTAATAATAAACGACTTCAGGGCGTTTTTCTTCTAGTAATCTACTTCTTGCCACTGCATCTCTAACGAAGTCTCTCATGGCAAAGACACTTCTTTCAGCATTTCTAGACAACTATATACCCAGTCCTGAATGACTTGAGCATGCATAATCCCTACTGTATCACCACAGGTTACAAAGAAGCATCACTTGACAGAATCATTATTTCCATAATATATTACACGGGGGGATACAGGCTGTTCAAAACACCATTTGCTATCAACTTTCTTTCAGATATCCTCATCTCTTTTTTTTCTCCTTCCTGCTGACACAACATCCAATGCATCAAACACACACAGCCTCTCAGGGCTAACAGGCAGATGTACCTACACATGCAGCATAAGAAAGTACTTTGAGAATGACAGGCCCTCAGCACACTCATTCACCTCTTTAAAATGCTTCAAATATACCATTCAGCAAAAGAAAAAATTGATTTTCCCCAGGTTTCAACATCACAGCCACTGAGAAATATAACTGTGCTGGGTTTTACTGATAAAGCCTTCAAGTTACATAGATTTCAAGCTGGTCATCATTTTCAGATCAAGTTATAGAAAAAGTTAAAACTGAGGTGACAAAAAGAGCAGGATATTCCAAGGATATATTCTTCCAGAGAGAATATTGCATCTGGTAGACTGACGGGTTCCCTCCATACTGCTAAGCCAAGCATATGGTACATTATTAATATGTGCAAATATTAAGCTATAGAAAACTGCAGCAACTGTTTTGGAAAGAGCTACTTTTAGTCCAGAGTAATTTGAAAATTTTATAATATAATATTGCTCATGCCTTTAATCTCCATCCTTAGCTATTCTCTGGTTCTCAAGACGAGCATTTTCCTTGAGCTATAGTGTGCTTTCCAAAAGGCAAAAAGAGGTGTATCAGAACACATCACCACCAAAACACCAAAGCAAAACCACAAAAAACCCCAAACAAACAAAACCCAAAACCAATCAAACAAAAATGACAAGCAAACAAAACAAAACAAAAAACTAAACAAAACAAAACCAATAAAAAATGAAAAAATAAAATATGTGAAGCTGGACTTTAACATATAAGAGGAATTAGGCATGATGTGCCAATTGCTAGCACAACATCAGCTGTAAATATCTTTTTACTGAAAAAAGGTAAGTCAGCAAAAGGAACATGCCTATCCATTTCTCAGTGATTTCCTCAAGTCCTGAATATTGAGTGTGTCTCAATACCATCAACAGAATCACTCTGTTAATTTGATACTTTTAAAAACGTGTCTCTAGAAGTAGCATCCTGTGTATTTAGTACTTCATATATATGAAACAAAATACTTAAAATTCTTAGAAATAAGGGTTTGCAATCCTGCAGTCACACTTCACACAGAAAATTTCATAAATGAAAAGGAATAAATGCTCCTTGTGCAGGACTAAACCCTATATTAACAAATGCTACCAAATCTATGCTTGCAACTCCAGTTTCATGACTTGCCATAAAAATTCTAAAGAAGGAATGGGCTATCAGACTTCCTTCACCTTTTTTTTTTTTGTTTATTATTTCTTTATTTTACAACAGCAATAATGTGCTGAAGTCAATCTGAACTTCCT